GAATTTCCTAAAGCATACAAAACACCTCCCTTCATTTTTTAGTTGTTTACGCTTCTCAGGAATCGAAAGCGATGCACAGAAATTAGTATTATTTTCTGAATTGCTGCAAAAGAAACTGTTATTCTTAAGACTGGTTGACAAAACAGATGCTGTAGGAATATTACGTTTAAAATTTTGGTTTCTATATTATTCAGGTTTATCATGAGATAGATATCTTTGAGGAACTATTCAAATTCATCGTAACTTTACGTGATTCTACTTCTTCTTTAATAAAAGATATTAGTTCATTGATGTCCCATCCGAACTTTTGGCACGTTTTCTATTGAAGTCTCAAGTAATATCTGATGGAATCAACTTAAGTAAAATTGGGCATAATAAATGACCATGATTTCCAGATGCAACCCCTAAAGAGTTTTACTTACGAAGCTGAATTTCAAAGTTGTCATACAGCACCCTGAAAGATCTTAAGTTTGAAGAATTTTTTACCGGATTCAAATTTGAAAGCTTATTCATACGGGAGTTAATAATGACATCTGTCCTATCAAACCGTTCTTTTAAAAGAGCGGAAATATAATTTTCATTAGTTAATAAAAGCCCAGATACAGCATTAGCTGCACTTCCACCAAGCAGCGATTTAAATAATAAAATTTATCAACTGGTGTTAAATGCTCATTACCATCTATAGCATTTGAAAATTGGCTCGAAAACTCAAGGCATAAGCAAGAATCACCACAATATTTTTTTATTGTAAGCTATGGAAGCTTCATAAAATTAGCTCCAGTATAATTACTAAGAGCATTATTTTCACTACTTAAAAGACTAGAATCATGAGAATTAATTTGAGAGTTAGAGTTCAAACTTTTTTCTAAATACCTAGTAATTATAATTTTCTATTCAGCAATGTTTTCATCGTAATCTTCAACAACTTCAATTTTGGATTCAATATCTTCAAGGGTTAAACCACTCTCGATTTCACAATTTAGTTGTTTAAGACCATCATACTTTTCAATTAATTGCTTTTTGAAAAGACGTAAATGATCAGTTTTTTTTTTTTTTTTTTTTTTTTTTTTTTTTTTTTTTTTTTTTTTTTTTTTGTTGATGAGTCATTTCCGACGTTTTCGTTAAAATAGCTTCAATTTTCGCTAACAATTTTGTAGTAACGGTACGCAAAACGTCGCGTTTCCGCTTCAATTTATCAAGACTTTCCATTACGTTTATACTATATATCATAATATATCAAGTTATAAATAAGCATGCGGCTTACCAGATAAATTTTATATTCCGAGCTTTCAATTCGGACGTCCTGTCGCGTTGTAGCCAAAGAATGAAGCATCATTTGCACTTCCATGCAGGTTAGTGTAATAAGTCTTACCATAATGGTTCCATAAAATCATTCAATATGTGAATAAATTAACACACGAACTAAAATTATTTACTTACAACATGAGCTATTTTAAAATACTCTTAAAATGAGAGTTCAATATCATTATTACCGTCTCAGCCGGTTCTTGCAACAATATTCTAAAAACAGAGTACAACAGGATTCCCACTAAAGTATGCAAATCAAGTATTCACTTCAGCGCTACCTAACGGTCAAATCGACAGGCACAACACCGATTATGTATCAGTATATGTATACTAGAACAATGTTATATATAAATGTAATACATATCCTAAGTCGCGAAATTCGAAACATGAAAAACGCCAGTTGAATTTCGTTAATCGGCCCAGTAGAACGGGAGATATAGAACTGTCTCCCTCCCCTCTTTTTTTCTTTTTTTTAGTACAAATTGGTAATTTGTGCAGAATGACTATTAAATTCATTTTGGCATTTTACGTTGATTCACTACAAGCGTTGTTTCACTTTTCAAATTGTTACCACCAAATATTATCGCCCTCTGTTACATGTTATTTAAAGAAATTAAATAATGAAGAATTTGCATAAATGTATGTATGTTTTTCGCATTGTGATTAAGCAACGGTACCTAGAGCCATCAGATTTTGAATAACGTAATCCTTCACCGAATATGGATATCTGGAAGCCCTAATTAGGAATTTGGGATTTGTTTTATTATCGATTTCGTATTTTGTAACACTAATTTTTGATTAACAAACTGTGTTCTAATTTTTGATTAAAAACTCAACGATTTCAAGGCGAGCAATGGCAACGTCGTACAGAAAAAACATTTTTATCTCCAGCGGTAGAGATTGTGTATCGGAAATTCTGAAAATATGCTCATTTTAAAATTATTTTGCGATATTGCTCTTGAACTGAATTTTATGTGAAAGTGAAAAGAACATGATATTTAATAAATAAAAGTAACACATAAAATGTTAAAAAAACTCTTCTTTGGACGTAATTTAAAATCTGAAAACTTTCAGACATTTTTCTTCGCACTGTACATGAAACATATATAGTTAGAGACAAAACTGAATTAGTTATGATTTATTAATGACACTAAAGCAGTTTAAAACAGGTCAGGAACAAAAATGCTATAGCCTGGTTAATGTCTTAGTTTTAAAAACAGGATCTTTTGAAAAGTGAGTGTGAGGCTCAAGTGACAAAGTGCATTATTAATTCGTATAAATGTAAACAAGATTATGTGAGTTTTTGTCATTAAAAATTCGATTCAGGTTGAAGCAAAAACGACTCCGAGTATTACAGCAGAAAGCTTCACTAAAATTATATTTTAGTCAAGCTTCAGCTGAAATTAAAGTGCTTGTGATTGTAATGCTGCTAAGAATTTATTATAGTTTAGCCAAGAATGGAAATTAAAATAAAACTCAGAATATGTTGAAGAGTCTTTTGAAATTAGGCAATATTTGACATCAGAACTACCGTTGCCTTTACATTGAAATGAAAAATAAAGTAATAATAGGAGAAACTAAAAAAATCGCTTGGAACATTTTGCACAAAATTTGGTTACACGAATTTTATTCGGAATGAATCTAAATTTCGAAATGTGAAAGGAAGAATAAAATAACTTTAAAATAAACCAATGAGATATTAACACTTTTATGCCAAATTCAATTAACATGGAAGAGCTAAACTGTCATGTGTCACTTGTGTCTCATATGTGTCACTTCAGAAAAAGTCCGATTTTGTATCAAAATAACCGATATCAGAAGAGTGCTATGTGTAAATCTAATATACATGTCCATAAATTAAGGATAATTCGAAGTCACGCAGAAATCGAACTCTAAAATAAATATATCACCTGTAAAATCACTACACACATCTTCAAGAATCATATGCAAATTTCAGGAAGTAACCAGATGACACCGATGATACGTCACAATGACGAGAGTGTAAGAGAGTAATATATAAGGAACACAGGCAAAGAAGTAAAATTGTTCGCAGGCGCTTTATAAGCATTTCAGTGCAATAACCGAATAGTTATGACACAAAGGACGCATTTGGATGATTTTTTACGTGGTAGAATTATCGGCCACGGAATGTGGGCGTACCCAACTGGAAGTATCAGACGAACTTGGAATTGCCCAGAGTGTCATCTCCAGGCTTTGGCAACGATTCCAAGATGATGGTAATGTGAGTAGACGTTACAGCACAGGTCGCCTCAGAGTTACAACGCCAAATGAGGACCGGTATTTGGTAGTCACTGCCAAAAGAAACAGGCGGAGCACAGCCTCAGACCTGTCTCGTCAGCTCTCTTCAGCCACTGGTACGACAATTTCAAGGCAGACCGTGTACAGACGCTTAGGGCAGATTGGTCTATATGCTCGTAGACCTGTCAGATGCGTTCCACTTACTGCAACTCACTGTCGCCTGCGGTTAGCCTGGAGTAGAGAGCATGCATTGTGGACACCGCAACAGTGGGCTTGTGTGATGTTTTCCGACGAGTCCAGGTTTAGCTTGCAGTCTGATTCTCGCCGGACTTTCATATGGAGAGCTCCAGGTACCCGTTACCACCAAGAAAACATCATTGAACGACACCGTTACGGTGGTGCAGGAGTGCTCGTTTGGGGTGGAATTATTCTGGGTTCCAGAACTAACCTGCATGTTCAAATTGGAACCATGACAAGCCAAATCTATCGGGACGTCATTCTGGAACAACATGTACGTTTGTTTCGGGGCTCCATGGGCGCACAATTTGTGTTTATGGATGACAACGCCCGTCCTCACCGTGCAAACATCGTAAGCGAATGCCTTCAATCGGAGGATATCACCCGTATGGACTGGCCAGCATTCTCACCGGACTTGAATCCAGTAGAGCACGTGTGGGACATGCTTGGCCGACGAGTTGCAGCCCGTCAACCTCCTCCTACATGTCTACCGGAACTTCGGAGAGCATTGCTTTTTGAGTGGTGTAATATCCCCAAAGATCAGATCGATAATTTGATACTCAGCATGCCTAGGCGTTGTACGGACTGTATTGCATCGTCTGGGAGACATACAATGTATTAACAATCATACCAACCATGTAATATTGGTTTTTTGTAAATAGTTTTTTTTTTTGTAATTTGCTCCAGGGAGAAAAAATCGCAAATTTTTTAATAATATCAGACATATAGCATCTGTTTTTGCTCTTTACCTTTTGTTTAATAAATAAGCTTTACAAATAAGTACAATTTCTTTTGCTTCTAATTCTTCCTTTGCCTGATTTTGCATTATCCTTATTTATGGACATGAGTGTATATCCTAAGTCGCGCTTTCGAGACATGAAAAAAGCAATTTGAATTTCGTCCATCGACCCAGTAGAACAAGAGATATAGAACTGTATTTAAGTTTTTATAGATATTTTTAAGTACATTTTTGCAAAGGTTCATTATTGTTTAAGTTAAAATAATTTGGTTTGGCTATGTCTGTTACTGAAGCCAAAGGATTTATATAAAATCACTAGTCGTAACATATTATGTAAAGATTTAACGCTGAGAGCAACTTTGTTGTTACGATTCAAAATGTCATAGTATATATTGTTTTTAAAACTATGTGAGTTTTGTTTCATGCATGATTAAATGTGTATTTTAAAATTTATTAGGTACAAAGTATACTGAACATGTTACTCCAACAACAACGTATACGATGAAGATTCCACTTAGACGTAAGTAATTTTCAAGTAAAATTATTAATAAATCGTACAAAAACGTTAAATTATTAATTGGTTTCAATTATTAGCTTTCGCTACTCTATTTCGACAGTTATTAATACCTTTTTTCTTTTAAATAACAGTCGAAATCGAAAACCATTTTCAGATAACTCATGTTTTTCATAATACTTTTTATATTTTATAGAAAACAATTATAAAATAATTTTCCCTTTTATGATACAATCATATATGTAATAAATAGTTTAATACTTTGAGAAAAATAATAAAATTTAAACTTATTTATTTTTTCTCTTAAATAGAAGGAAACTAATGAAAGCAGATCGAAAATTGTTATTGTAAAAGCATCTTAAAACTTTAAAAAATTACAAACACAGAGCTGCTCATTGTTCATCAGTTTTCAGGTTTTGAACCAACAAATTTTGAAAAGAAATCCATATTTACAAAAACATTGTATTTTAACATTAAAAATATTGAATGAAAATAGATGATATAATTTAAATTCGAAGTTTGCTTGTACGTTTTAGTTATTTTGCAACGAAGTTTATTAAAAAATTGTTTGTAAACCTGTTATTGCAATGAATTTGAACAAGCATAGTAAAATATATACTCTAAGAAGAAGAAAGAGCTTTTTTAATTCATTGTTTAACGCCTATTTAGTTAGACAGTATTTAATAAATTTAATAAATTAATAATACAATTACAAAAATAAAACAGTTATTATTATTTAAAAATGTTTCAATGTATGAAAGTCGTAAAAGCTTTCAACTTCAGTAGTACTACTGTAATTTAAAAACTGTACAAAGTGTTCATATCTACATATTGCAAATGATATTTAATTAATGTTTTACTACAGATAACCAATTCAGTATACATTTCATTATAATTCATACTTGATGAAATAATACTTAAATATATATTAATATTAATTTAAGGCTACCTTATTGAACTCATTAAATTTACCTTTTTTTCACAGCGAAAATTATCAGTGAAAGGTACAATGTTCCAAGAACTCGAACAGAAGTCATTACAGAAAGTCGTAAGTAAACATTGTATCTGTTTTATTTTTAAAGAATTTTATAAATGTTTTATTACTTAAACATTTAATTAGATTATTTTTATATCCAAAACATTTATTTCGTTTGTAAGGAAATTAACTGAGCTACTTGAAGAATGTGTATTGGCTATCATTCGCAAACTGTATTATCTTATCCACAGAGAGCGTTCACACAATTTTGTTACGATTTTGATTTTCTCCATTAATCTAAATATTAATTTTAAAATACAAATGTGAGTGGCATCAAATTGAAATAAAGTTCAATTATCATCTGCAGGATTAAAAATGTTCTTTTCTTTAAAATAAGCAATGGATCGAAGGCTATATTTTTGCGCTGTCCGAAGAGAAATACTTTTCTTCAGTTATTAAAAAAGATGTGAAAAATATAGTTTTAATATTTTTAGCCGTAAAATATGTGACATAATTAATATGAAAGGCAATAAACGTCAACGTTTACATCTAATTGGGAAAAAGGCAAAAAATGTATACCCAACAAAGGTACATACTGTAATAATATATAGCGTGCTAAATGTAATAATGAATGGTGGGCCACCAAATGTAATATTAATTAGCGCAATAACCCAGAGATTCTGGATACGTGCAGAATAAAATGTGCGATCTGAAAAAAAATATGGAATTAAAGTAACTTACCCCCAAAGGATGACACTTCATATAATGTGAATTACGAAAAATTTATTATATCCTGACATCGTGAAATTTTAAATTAATACTAGTATAAATCAAGAAAACATATCCAGACAGAAGACAATAGACGGCAAACTACTGTAGCATTAAGAATCAGTCCTACCATTTTGAGTCCTAGCCTTCGTGCATAAAACTAAAGTTCAATCTAAAAATCTAGTTCATTTCGTACACAAAGTTACGTGATAACAAATAATTTTATAGCGAAGGACTTTGACTTGAATTATTGTTCCAGTATATTTTTTGTGGAAACACAAGGCCAATTCTAGTATCAAGATGCGACACGTGCACGGGAATTCCTTTAGAGAACGTCTCAAATTGTAAAACATCATTCATTTACTGCAGAAGTCAGCATCTAGATCAATTTTAGTTGAATCTTCATACCACTTACTATTATCTTTTTGACAAAATGCATTCTCTTGAAACTATATGGAGATGTTCGTCAGGAAGGCACGAAAAGGAACAAATTGCAGACACGCATCATTCGCGGTGAGGACGGACAGAAGACCGCGTTACACCTTCGGAGTCTAGCAGAAGAAGAGACAAAAAAACGGTTATAGTGGTCAATCTCGCTCTGTCATTGAGCGGTCGCAGTGAGCAGACTTGATGTTGAATAAATGTGGAGGCTTGCCTGCACATTCAGCTCTCATTAAATCTAAAGTCGTATCTCATGTTTTAAAGGAAAATCCAATCCCGAAAGAGATATTGCAAAATCTTTAAATATCTCTGTAGGAACTGTGTGCAAAGTTACAAAATCTGATTTAAAGCTAATCAAAACAAAAAGACATGGTGTTCATCGCCAAAACATATTTCTCAGCTTAAGGTGTATGTTGGTGTATTTAATTAAGGCGAAGCTCACGAGGGCTATCTGCCTAAAGGGAGGGATGCCTTCGTGGAGAACTTTCTAAGGGAAACTGGCTCGTATACACGTTACACATGGGGGAAACCACGAAAACCCCCATGAAGCCAGCCCGTTCGCGGGATTCGAACCTCGGATTGAACTACCAGTGTTCAGCGACTTTACCGCTCGGCCGCTGGTGGGCCTTCTCAGCGTAAGAGTATGTGCAGATTGCTGTATGAAAATTATTTGGCGGGTGAAATATATAGTTACAGTTGACGAGGCTTGGATATAGCTATCTGACTACAATAGTAAAAGATCGGTTTACTACCAAAAAAGAGGAGAAAAAGACTTAGTATGTTGGTTCAGAGTAAACAAGGAATGTTTTTCTGAAAGTTTTATGGTTATTACTAAATTCTCTTATTAAGGACTACTTAAAATAACGAAAGTAGAAAAAAATGTCAGAATTAATTTGGATTACTATCAGAAATACGTTTTGAAACCTATTTTTAAAGAAGAAATTCCATCTCTTTATCCAAACAATTTTCACTGCGTCAAGATTCATTAGGACTAGGCTCCAAGGAGCCATGCCTTTAAATCTACCACTCCATTTTTTTGAAAAAATGAGAAATGAAACCAGAATTGAAGCTATTCCTTTTAAATGTATCTCAGCCAAGTCCTCTGATGTGTCTCCTATAGATTGCTGTGCATATGGATTTTTAAAACAAGCTCTTTGTTAGCGGCTTCCCAAAACGTTGGATGGACTCTGGAAAATTATAAAGGAGGAGTGGAATAAAATTAACTTTGATGTTTTAAGAAAAGGACTTTAATCTTGGGACAACAACAAAATTATCAAAAGCGCTATTAGAAACTGAACATATTAGAAAATAAAATTCTAAGGTTTGTTTATATATATATATATATATATATCCTTGCAAAATCGTTACAAAAATTTGTAAACACCCTCTGCATTTAAATCTTACTACTTAATGTAAAATTGTACTTACATTATTCAATCAAATACTGCTGCTATATGAGCTAAACTCTTAGAGTCCGTATTTTAAATCTGAAATTAAAAACTTCCTGCATATCATGTATTTCTTTTAACTATTTAAATTTCTTACTTTTTTATTCTTTTCATTTAACAAAATGAATTTGATTACTATTAATGCAAATTATAATCTTATTCCAAACGATCGATCGTTTTTCTTATCTCTCAAAAGTAAATAAAGAGTACTCTAAATTTTTCTAGGTCCGTGTTAATTTAGTAGTATTACTCAAGGTACATTTTATATGATTTTTATATTTTCAGTTTTCTTCATAGCAGTGTAAGGAGAATAATGAATTATATGGAAAGTCAGACTAGTATTTTAAATAATTACGAAGATTACATAAACGTATACCAGTATAGGAGACATAATTATGTATTGTATGCAAATGGCTGAAAACTTGAAAAATTTGAAAGCTGTATTGCCAAGGCATATACTATGAAGCAATTACTTTTACATACTTTTATTTTACTTTGTTTGTATGCAACGAAATTTGGAACACAAAATTAATTCACTTGCATTTTACCTTCGAAACTCAACCTTTTGGATTAGATACAAAGCCGATGAGAATGCATTTATTTTAACTGTAACTATTTTAAATCCATCACATTGAATATTAAACATTTCGAAGGAAACTTTTTTAATGTATTCATTATTTTCAGTTCCTGATATTTGCCTCCAAGCAAAAAGAAAAGTTTGGACACTTCAGGAAGTTAAGTATTGCAAATCACATCTGGAGTGATCCAATGAAAGACATTAAGAGCTGCGATTTGAATAATTAAATCTTTATTAAATAAGTGCGTAAGTCTTCACGTGGTATTAATTCACAATGAACTAATTTCAAAACAATTTCTGTTCTACTATTTGGCTTTGCTATTTTTAGCAACTCATCTCAAATATAAGATTTGAGTTACATAACTCTAATTATTTAAGGATTAGTTCTTAAACTAAGCCTGTAAGCCTGTGGTAATATTTAATATTTACCTTAAAGTTGTTTCTGGTGTTAAATTGGAATTCGTCTACCAGCATCAGATCGTGGGTTCATTTTAATCATACGATTTTAAATATTTTGTCATTAAGCTATCTTTTTTAACCTTTTGAAACTTTTAAACGTTTCGAGATATTAGAGTGTAATATGAAATTCTACAATTGAATTTATTTGTTTATTATTCTTTTCTGCAATATATTAATGAAAAATTGTTAAATCGAAGCTAAAAGTGTCTGCTAAAAAGGAGACAGCTAAAAGCAACAGCAATTTTGCTTATGAAACATAACCTTATGATATTTCTGAAACTTAAAAAGGAACTTGGCATTCATCTTATATGAGCCATCTTGAAATTTTTAATTTTACACTATTTTAGAAAAAATGCGGTGTCTTGATTTATGACAACACTGGTTTGATCTGTTAAGATTAGTTACGAAAATATCTTAAGAATTTTTAAGAGCGTTTGAAATATGACGGTTATTCTGAATTACTTATTCTGGAATACTTAACATAAAATACACTCCTCAAAAGTGAAATTGCAACAGAAAATGCCTCAGAGACGTCGGCGAGCTCAATCGGCTCAATACCGTCAGTTAACGACTGGCGAACGTAACCGCATTATCGAAGTCCATGAAGTTGGTTTGTCCTGCGCACACTCGTGTTGGGCACAACGTGAATACCATCCAACGTTGTGTCACACAATGGGATTCCAGGAAGGTGTACGTGCTTTCAAAGAGTAACAGCTAACAGTCGGTTCAGCTATCTGTTCAAAGTCTTTTATGAATGTTCTATAGCAAGAACACATGTCTAAGAAAGAAGAGAGTTTTTTCGACGTATTAGGGGGTGGGTAATTCTTTATTGAAATTACTTTCGAATCCTCAGTTTCAAATACCCGTTTTGAAATCTTATAGCCCAAGTACCTGAGTTCTTCCTCGGCGAATTTACACTTACTAGCATTTATTTTTAGGCATGTGTCTCTTATTAATTAAAAACTTCCTTTAAATCTTTGATGTGTGCCTCAATATTTTCGTTTGAGACAATGATATCGTCGAGGTAAATAAACGTGGATTTGTCGAGGACAGGTCTTCATATTCGTTGGAAAGTCGCTAGGGCTCCACATAAGCCGAAAGGCATTCTAAGAAAAGCATAAGTGCCTGATTTCGTGATGAATGCTGTTTTGGGCACATATGGTGGTCATATATTTGATTGACCTAATGTTTCGTATTATTTCTTCAATGATAGGCAGGGGGTAAACGGAGTGCTTAGTTAAACTGTTAAATTATCTGTAGTCTACAGCTAGCCTCCAGGCTTTAAAATTTGAGGAGGCAGATAATTTTTTTTCTGCAGAGCGTTACTGGGCTAGCATAAGGGCTACTTATAAGTTTAATAATTTTATTTTTGAGCATGTGCTGAATATGCTCTTCTTTAATATTTTCTTTAACGCGATCGTATCAATATGATCTGGCTTTCTCAGGCTCCTCACTTTTTAAATTGATTTCATGATGTGCAGTCTGGGTGAGACCAGGTGTTTCAGAAATCAAATCAGAAAAATGTCTTACTAGCTTTTGTAATTTTCTTCTGTCTTCGTTTTTCATGTGTTCAAGGTTCAAGTTACATGAACAATGTTTGCTCTGCGCTGCAATAACATTAGTATTTTGGATTTTAAATAACCTATAGTTTTTTAAACTCCTTCGAAAAAAGGTGTTCCGACAGGAAGTTTGCCCTGTATCCACCAAAGCTTCTGTTGGCACCTTATTTAGTGGAATATGCATAACAGGTAGGGACAAATTTTTTATTATCAACGTGTTCAACTGAACGTTTGAGCGAACTCTATCCGAGTGGAATGATTGTACCATCAATGATTGTACCATACAATGATGTATCCGAGTGGAATGATTCAGCAGGCATAAGTGCTAGTTTAACTCGTTGTTAACTGCCCGCATTTTAGAATCTTGCGGCCTATTTTGGCGATCGCCTTTTATCTGAAAATTTATTCCCGGTATTCCACTTCTGCGATTGTTCTGATAACAGCCTAGAAAAGTGCCCGTTTGGTCTCTGGCCAAACCTTCTCGAACGCGTACTTTCTGCTATCCTCCTTCTGTAGAAATTTCCCCTCCAGCTCAAACAATTGTTCTAGAGTGCTGGAGTTTCTCACTTCGATGTAATCCTGAACAAGTATTCAAGGCAAGATAATTTGAATTTCTTCTACATCGGGCTCTTTACCATATAACAAATTAGCAACTTCGACGTTGTGTAAAATAATGTCTGACAGCTCTTGAATTTTAAATTGGTACTTGCCATACAATTCGGCCACAAGCCTAGCTCTGTCTTTTACCACGGTACTTCGAGTATATAAATGCTTTCTTTCCAGAGAAGAGAATACTTTCACGTGACCTTTCTCGTGGAAGAAAGTAATATCACCTCTTTTGGGCGAGTCTATGTGTTTTGGCTGAATGCCAGGCAAGGTTATGTTTGAGACGATCGAACTACAATGTTTCTGTTTGAATCCAGGCACATCAAACTTAGCGCTCTATATTAACGAGTTTCTTCGATAGCGTATCTTCAACTACAGTTTCAATTGCATTAGGAATTTCGCTCTCAAAGTCTGCCAAGAGAAGTTTATGTTATAGTGTTTTTTTTAAACAGGTTATGGGATCATTTGAAAATAATGCGACACGCTTCAATGTAGATTTAGGAGAAGGTTTTATTCTTTCATTGTGATCATTCCTGGAGGAAGCATTGTGATAATACTGTTTAACGAGTACTTATTTAATGAACATTTTTAAAATAAAGAAAAGAAATATTTATGATATTTTTACTGATATTCTTATATTGCTTCTAAATCGATGAACTGATTATTCTCATATATGTTTTTCAGCTGGCACCTTTACAGAACATTTGACCAAGACAACGACAGAAAATGCAACAATCCCTGTTCCAAGTGAAGTACTTCTTTTATTTCCGAAATGATAAATCTTGATAGCCATTTTAACCATTGTAGTTTGAGTTCCCTTTCTAGATAGTGTTTCTCAAAATTAGTTATAACTTTGGTACAGTGAATTTAATATACGTACCGGATAATTTGATGTAATCTGATAACTGATGCATATTAGTAATAAATGTTGTGAATGAAAGTTAAGTGATTTTAAGGAGGAACGTGAATGGCATATATATTTTATTTGGAGAATATTTGTAAGATCATTTGAAAATCAGTTCTTTAAAGGAAAACATATATCCGCTTTATTTGCTATTCCAGGTTCTCATATAAAAATAAAAATCTGTTACATAAACTTATAACTTGATAAAAAACTTAATAAAAGTTTATAAATTTAAATAAAAGACTTTTGATTGAATGAGTAGTTTTCACAGATATTTGAAAGGTAAACAATAGCAACATAGGAACTTATCCTTCCATAGGCAATTCAGTTACTAATATAAGAACAAAGCAAATTATATAATTCAGTTAGATTATTTGAATAAACGTTCAAAGTGACGTGCATGTATCTCAATGATATCTTTACAACCATAATTAAATAGTGATTTTATAAATAGAATAACTGTTTGTTGATAAGTTAGTTATTATAATAAATTTTTTCAACTAATATACCGTATTTGCCGGCGTATAATACGCACCAGTTTATAAGATGCACCCCCTTTCTTATGCACATTTTTGAAGTATAAAATTTTATTACTGATCATTATAATTAATTTATATTTTTAAATATAAATTAATACAAATACAACGTAATACTTTTTACAAATACCCAATTTATCTGGAGAAGAACACCTTTTAATCTTCATCGTCTCAACAGTCTCCAGGGCTAAATTGAAGAGTCACTTGAAACCACTTCTAAATCAGCATCTGAGTCCTCATACAATAAATTGTCCTCTTTACCATTTAGTGCATTATTATTGCTACACTTCTTAAATGATTTAACCACTGTCTCTGTTTTCACAGCACCCTATGAAGCTTTGACCCATTCAAAAACGTGCGAAATGCTAAGCCTCGTCCTTTTACCTGATGATGTAACCTCGAAAATTGAAAACTGCATCCTACTGCTCCACTTCTCTTTCAAAATCCCTTAAATGGTTTATTAATGTAGGTATCTGCAAAAGCTAGAAATCGAAATTCCTAATTAATAAATTTCAAATAACCATATAAATACAACAAAGAATTTAAAATTGTTAAAACCAAAACATTACAAACAAGCAAAATCCCAGTTTAAAAAACTAATGAAATTTAAAGAAAAATGAGCAAAAACAGAAGAGAAATTCAATCAACCTCAATGCCACTTCATCAGGGGGGGGACATTGAAATTAATTGAAATCTCTCTTCTACAAAAATCCTTTCTTTTCTGTATCCAGAATTAGCCGATGAACCGTTTCAATGTAGTTTAATTATAATAGTCTCCCCGAAAATTCTGGCATATGAATTACATCGTTATTTATTACTTAGGTGACTAAAAAGCATTATTTATAAGCAATTTTATGTTAGGAAACATACCTTATGTGGTTTCTTTTCATTCAAAGCTGCTTAACTAAATTTTTAATTGGATTTGAATGAATTACACAACGTATAAAAATATAATTTCAGATTTTGGAAATGGAAATGAAAAGGCATTTTTGTTTTTAGGATATGTTTGCATTTTTTCGGAAAGAAATGAATGATTACTAAAAATGTATTTTCTTCCAGGCAAAGGAATTCGCATGACACATAAACCTCCCGTAACTGAAATTCTGACATTCACCCCCACGTGTATGTATTAGAAAATTAACTAACTACATAAATTATATCAACTGCACTTTTCGATAACCTTCTTTCGCAACCTTATTTTTGTTAACCTTATTTTGCAGCAAAAGGATATGCAAGCCGTTTGACACCAACTACAGTTGAATACTTTCATATACCATTTACTCGTAAGTTTTGTCCGTTCACTTTTATAATTTCAAAGTATCGTAATGTCTGTTTGAAAGATGGTTTTCAAATAAAATCCTGTTATTACTGAAAATTTCTGCATTGTCGACGTATATATTTTTCTTAAATATTTTATTCGTTTTTATTTCAGAACACACATTCACCATGGAACATAGTCGGGCAACCACATCAAAGTTCCGCTCACGACCAAGTAAGTGCATGTACATTGAATAGCACTGAATAAAATGGGAATTAAATTTTTATGTCTGATATAAAATGTTGAGTATTTCGGTTGCCAGTTTGATAAATAGATATTTATATATTATTTATGAAACTCTATATGCCTTTTTAAAATTTTGATAGTGAAGTAGTATTTTAAATGGGAATGAAAATAAATCGTCTTAAGCGAAAAACAAATGTTGCTTTCCTTACTATCTACTAACAAATGTATTGCCACTGCCGTTCGGGATAGCCGACTGAGATATTAAATTTCCTGGGTGCAAAGGTGCTCTACCTATTGCGTAGATCAATAATAAAATCATCAACACTTAGTAGTGGTCAACATCTAAAAATAAGTTTTCCCTGTCGACTGTGGTCAGAGTTGTGTATGAAAGTCAAAAAATAGAGTGACACATTAAAGATATGACATACCTTTATTTTTCCACATAGGTACCAAGTACATTGAGACATTTGTCATATCACTTGATAAGCTTCAAAAAGCCCTCCAGGAAACAATCAGGGCTTTGCACATGGAAGAAGTGTTGAACGGCTTGTTTCACTTCAGCATTGCTTCCAAAGCGCCTTCCCCCGAGATTTTTTTTTCAAAGCCGGAAACAGATGGAAGTCGCTTGGTGCGAGATCAGGACTGTATGGCGGATGGTGTAGGCGCTCCCAACCAAGAGTTGCAATATGGTTTTGCGTTGCCGTCGCCGAATGTGGTCTGGTATTGTCATCCAACAGCAGAACGCCAGATGTGAGTCAAGGTCAATTGTCGGGGCACCCATCATGCTGACACTTTTCTGTATCGAAGAATGTCGTGGATGATTTTTTGAGCTCGCTCATGTGAGATTCCATGTTCTTCCGCTACTTCATCGATGGTGATACGCCGGTTCGTTCTAATCATGTCATCCGCCTTCCTGACATTTGCATCTGTAGTGGCCGTGCGCGTCCGTCCAGCTCTCGGTATGTCCTCCACTTGCTGACGTCCATCACTGAATGTGCGACACCATCTCCGCACCATTTGCTTCGACATCACACCTGGCCCATAGACTTCCACGAGGCGGTTATGAATTTCTGTTCCTGATACTCCACGTGCCCATTCATAGCGGATAAATCTCGGGGGAAGGCGCTTTGGAAGCAATACTGAAGTGAAACAAGCTGTTCAACGCTTCTTCCATATGCAAAGCCCTGATTTTTTCCTGGAGGGCTTTTTGAAGCTTATCAAGCAATATGACAAATGTCTCAATGTACCTATGTGGAAAAATAAAGATATGTCATATCTTTAATGTCTCATTCTATTTTTTGACTTTCATACACAACTCTGACCACAGTCGACAGGAGAAACTTATTTTTCAACTTACCTACGTATGACGAGTGCCAGCCATTGGGGAAAAAAAGTATATTTCCACTTGGCTCATTTAACCCTTTGACCGCTAGCTCCTCTAACTTGAAGCGCTTCACGTGAGCGGCCGCAGAATGACTAACCATATAACCAAGATTTCTTTTTTTCTGGTTGCTAAGCAACGAATGACGTATGAGGTTTCCGCCAGTGTTGGACATATACGATAGAAATAATTTTCGAACATAGACATGAGACAGTAGTAAACAACCGATAAACAGCGCATTTTGGGTCGGTAATATATTTAAATGGCTTGCGCCGGACGCACATATGCGCACATACGCTAAACGGATGTTTTTGCTGGACGCATATATGCCCCCTAGCAGTCAAAGGGTTAAGCGAAACTAAACTATACAGATGTGCTTTTCTTTTTTTATACCTTCTTTGATTGATTTTTATTATATTGGTAGCTTCTATTCTAACTTAAATTTAAAAAGAAATATAAGAAAAAAAATTTATTTCAAACAATTAAATTTCTTTTTAAAATTAAAAAATTGATTATTTTTTTTTAAATGCAGTTATTTGAACTATTCATTATCTAATTTTTCATCTTTTGCGTAATTGTTAGCATTGTTTAGTACATAGCAGATATTTTGGAATTTGTAAATTTTACACAGACACACACACATATATATGAACAAAACTTGAGAAATTTTAAATTAAGTTACTAAAAAAGAAAGAAAGAAAATCTGAAAGGTTCTCAGGTTTTATATTACACTCAAATGGGAATTTTTTTTTTCATTTACAGATACATTCACGTTTCAACAGCATTTGGGATAATGTCACATTGGACTAAAAAAAAGTAATTAAAAACAGAATGTGTTTAGAATATATACATTAGAATTTCCTATAGACAGTCTCGTGCGCTGGAACTAAAAATGTTTTATTCCTTACAGTGTTGACGCTGTTCGCTTTGAAATTGTTGAGTTTTTAATCAAAAATTCGTTAAAGTTTCACAAAATATGAAAGAAACAATAAAACAAACTAGACTAGAAGAGAAACACGCTAATGTGACAATCAAAATCGTAAAAACAACCTTGTATTTAGCGTAAGTATAATGAAACACTCAATCGATTTCGAGGACAGCTAAAGGTCCCTCCTCATCAGAAGAAAGAAATATCTAGAAAGAAGAAAATAAAGGAGAAGGAGTCTCAGAAACACGTGGTCCTTATCAGCACTGCACGTGGTTATAACTGGATTTTTAATCAGAGTTGCACTGGAAACCAATCAGCAAAAGTAGGCGGCAACTCTGATTAAAAATCCAGTTATAACCACGTGCAGTGCTGATAAGGACCACGTGTTTCTGAGACTCCTTCTCCTTTATTTTCTTCTTTCTAGATATTTCTTTCTCCTGATGAGGAGAGACCTTTAGCTGCCCTCGAAATCGATTGAGTGTTTCATTATACTTACGCTAAATACAAGGTTGTTTTTACGATTTTTGATCAATAAAACAAATTTTGTATTCCAAATTTGAGTTCCAGGTGTCCACGTTCGAGTGGAGCAGTATGTTAATCAAACTTTAATGATAATGGGTCCGTTGTTTTTCACAGTGCGAGAAACATATCTACGTTTATGTAGATTCTTTATTATTTATTTTCTTTAAATATAATACAAGGCGATAATATTGGTGGCAATAATTTGAAAAGGGTTTCGGACATTTAAAGTGATTGAATGCAAAATATCGTTTCGAGAATAATATCCCTCCTGGTTCCATTTGGGCTAATGATTAAAGTTGCGGCTGTAAATTAAATTAAATAATCAAGAAATAATTATGAAATAAAAAGTGTTCAACAGTCTAATTTGAGGTATACATTAGAAAATTGAAATAAAAACTATTTAAAAAAATTGAAACTAAAGTAATTCAATAAAATAACGTAATAGTACAAAATAAAAAATATGAAAATATTGAAAATTCCTTGTTTTCCAAGGAGCAGCCAAAGAAATGTTGAAAATTCCTTGTTTTCCAAGGAGCAGCCGAAGAACTTTCAACAGAGCAGCGCTCCTTAGTTACAATATTGAAAGCTAATAAAAAAATATTCTGCAGTAAGAAAACAGAAATAATTAAAAGAAAGCTCTAAAATAAAAAAATTAAATAATTTAAATAAAAAAGTAAATTGAATAAGTAACCAAAAATAATTAAAGAAAGTTCTAAAATAAGAAATAATAAAAATTAAATTCGTTAAAATTTCAAGTCCTTTAAAAATATAATTAAGTGAACATTTCAAAACTTTTATATAATTAATTGTAATTAATCATCCATCCATAATCTGCTCCGACGTAACCTTAAAATAAACATAAAAATTATTGAAAGATTATAAAAATAATTCTTCTTAGATTCTAATGAAAAATAATTTCTAGTGACAAACCACAGAAACCATTTGGTATATCAAATCATTGGGTTTTTTAAATAAATATTAATTAAATTTCGAACCTAAGAAAAAGCAGAATTCCTAAAATGACTTACAAAACAAAAGTAACTATTGTAAAACTACAGCAAAAATAGTTCAAGTCAAAATTTTGAGGAAACGAATTTAATTAGAAAAAATTAACTAAATAATTAAGAATTTAAATAATAATTAATGCAGAAAAGTTTCCAAATAAAGGAATAAGGCAAAATCGATAAAAAAATGGAAGGGTTGTAGCCTAAAATCTAAAACATAATGGTTATTAATATCAAAATAAAAAAGGCAATATACCTAAAGATGGAAAAAATAAAACTACATTAATTAATTTGAATGGAATTTCAAAAAGAAAATAAAACCTGAATGAAGCAAAAATTTCACCTGGCTATTTTCTGTCTCTAACTGGATACTTTTGTTTAGCAGAAAGAGTCAACATGAGATGGAGAAAAGTTTAATTAAATGAAAAAAAAATAATAAGCAAGATCTGAGTTCAAAAAATAATTAATTTTTGAAAATTAAATATTAAAATAAATTTTGAAAAACTGTGTAAGTTGTGAAAATAAATTTAAAATGTTTAATTTTTAACCCCAAAGGGGCAATTTGCCCAAAAGTGCTAATTATTTCGGTTTGGCATTTTGTGTTCATTCAGTATAAACGGCCAATAACTTTTTAAATTGTTGCCACCAAATATTAGAAACCTGTATTGTGTTTAAATAAATTACATAATGAGGAATCTGCATAAATGTATGTATGTTTCTCGCATTGTGATAAAACACAAACATATTTTGAATGATGGTCTCCAACCGAATATGGGCAACTGGAAGCCCAAATTTGGAATTTCTTTTATTATCTATTTCATATTTTGTAAAGGATTTATGAGTTTTTGATTAATAAACTCAATGATTCCAAAGCGAGAGATGGCAACACTGTACGGGAAAAAAAATTATCTCCAGCGCGCGAGACTGCCTATCGGAAATTCTAAAGATTTGTTCTTTTAAATATTTCGTGATATTGCTGTTAAATTGAACTTTATGGTTTAAGTGCTAAGAACACGATATTTAATAAATAAAAGGTAACACACGAAACGTTAAGAAAACGCCTCTCTGGGCGTAATATAAAATCTGAAAGCTTTCAGATTTTTTTTCATAATTTCAATAAATTAGATTTTCAAGTGTATGTAAAATAATTTTT